GTGTGTGTGTGTGTGTGTGTGTTCCATGTGCAATGGCGTCGATTAATGCATACTTTTGGATGGTTTGCAAGACTGTCCATCACTTTCTTGCCATCAGCCTTGAGCATTCAATATCACATTCACATACTGCAATCCCTGTACCAATCAATTACGGCTCACATTTATATCCACAAAGTGCAAGGAACGAAAGTGCAAGGATTGAATGAAATCAAATCGCAAGGGTGAGAAGAGAGTCCGTTGCAATAATTTCTCGCCATCAACCTTCACCATTCAATATTTTGACAAATCAATCCCCGTTCACATTTGCATTCACACAGCGCAAGGATGGAATGACAGTGAAAGCAGCTCACAACTGTCAAATTCAATAAGATGATAACATGGAAGGATGTTCGCTTGATCAGTAGCGAACATCGATTTGTCAGGCCGGAAGACAAAACAAAAAGATGAGAAAAAAATGAAAAAAAAACAACAACAAAAACTATACAAAAACACGACAATGGTACAATGACGACTGATCCCATAGACCTCCTCTGCCCACTACCCATGACCAAATCTACCCATCTATCCCAACCCCGAATATAATCACCCCAGCATCCCCTCGCACCCCCCCGCAACACAACCCCTTGTAGAAGGTTGTGGAGAGAAACTACACTGCTGCAACGTTTTCTCTTGAACAGAGATGGGATTCGAAGTCGGCATTCCACGTCAAAGCCAACGAACTATGTACAGTTCAGCGTGGTGTGGAGTGACTACTTGTGTTTGACTATCATCGTCAACCAACCGACGGCAGAGCACGAAGACGGGGGAGTCGACGACAACCTGCACTCCATAGACGAATGGAAGACACACCACATCCCGCTTCAGCTATCTTGTGCGGCGAAGACTGATCATCTCGACGACAGTACCCCGATGGCCGTCTCCGCCAAAAGCCCATCTGCAAAACCCCAAATGCGCATTCGACGTCAATGTCGAAGATGGGCACGATCTTTTGTGCTTCAGCCCCCTTCGCCTTTGTCATCAACGTCATCGTCTTCCTCTTCGTCGTCGGGGGGCCTGTCCACAGCCAATCCAACTTCTTCGCCTCCATCGGGGAGGCCAATGTCGCGTTATGCGAGAATTTGACGTCGTACTTTGCAGCCCAATCAGGGATGTATAGAAGGGGGGGGCGAACGTCGAAGGAGGTCTTCCCAACTTGTCCGTCACGACTTGTGCGGCTCGGATGATGTGGCGGCGGGCGTCGAATGTCCGATGCATGGACGCAAGCAGCATCGGCTTCGCTGTCAGTTGCACGAAGACCTAAGCGTCATAATGCAATCTTAGATCATCGCCCGCCATTCGCATGATCCACATCGTCACAACGAGCAAATACCTCATGGCCTTCTCCATCATCTTTAAACGCTTGTAAGAAACGCGCCCGCCGTCGATCCCCTCGGCCATCCCCACCGCCATCGTGAAATGCCTTATGAGTCACTGCACACTCGGCTCTTGGTAGGCCGCATACTCATCTTCCTCGTGCTTGTCTACAATGTCCGTGCCGACGAACCACAAAGGCAAATTCATGTCCATGTCGAGAGTTGTGTGGAAAACCATTGGGCTCACCAAACTGCGCCAGTCCTCTCCTGCCCACATCGCTCTTGCGATGTCAGTGGCGGCGTGACTCAAGGCGTACTGGTACGCTAAGTGGTACCCCCTCTGTCTACTCTCTGACTTGAAGACCCATCTGTGGATAGCCCTCAACGCGATGGTCTGCACCTTCACCGCCCTCTCCTTCACCGCATTCAACTCTGATTCGTCTTCTATTTTGTGTTGCGGGATGGTGTTGTGCGGAAAGGTGATGCTCCTCTGCACAGTCGGAGGCTGCACTCCCCGTACCACTGCCACGAGATGCGCGCGCGCCACCTGAATGATCTTCACGATGGCGTTCCCTTGTATCTCGTTCCAGAAACGCATGTCATCCTTCCAAAGTTTTGCGGCTCCCTGCATTCCATGTGACGACTCACGTGGCGTGCGCAGCCTGTGCACCAGCGCCTCATCGTCTTCCCCAACGGGACCGCCATCCCCTGCCCTCGCACCTTCCCCTGCGTCTGGCGTCACCTCGACACCGCCGCCGCGCGCCTCGTGTGCAGAAGATCGCACCGCGTTCCCTTGGACTGGCACTTGCGAACTCCCGGCAACGTCCGCAGGCGGGGGGTTGCGGCGGTTCACTAGCGTCTGCGGGCGCTGCGCAGTGTCTTGTGCAACAGCCCCGTCCTTCGGAGACCCGCGATCTCCCTGCATGCCACGTCGCCTTCGACTAAGATGATGCCAGCCTCTGCACCCGCGCCGCCTCCACCGCCACGCCATTGACCAGGTGTCTCCTTCCCCCCGTCGTTGATTTGGACCACCCACGCGGTCTTCCCCCTCAGCTTCCTCTTCAACGGTTCTTCCTCCTGTTCTTCGAAGTCGTTGTCCTCATCGTTCTTCAACTCCTCCCTCACCCACTCGTCTTCTATGTATCGCCCATCACCAACGGAGACGCCTTCAACGACCTTCCTCTTCTTGTTCACTTGATGGCGGCCCGTTTTCGCGGGAGCGGCGACCTCCATCCCCTGGTTGGCGGCACCCTTCCCCCGTCCACCACCGCGGGACGACATGGCGCTTCCGACACCCCCGCCTCCGATGATACTCATGAAACGTGAGCAGCCACACGAAGTGCCCGACGAGCTGCACCGCAGGCGAATCAAAATCTTGATCGGTTTTCGAATGCGCAGATCATGACGTCGTACTCGACGATGATGACGAGTTAGAAGACGGCGTGTATGGCGCGGTAGGTGACGGTCACAAAAAGATCACGGGCGAGTCGTCCAAGCCAAAACACAATGACGGCGTTGATGGCCCTTGCGTCAAAGTTGTCGTTGTCGACGGTGGAAGCGGCATCATACGCACTCCAACGTCGCTGCTAACGCAGGCACGATGACGGCGAGAAGGCGATAGCACAGCGACAAGGGTAGACGACGATAATGGTACATGGCGAGACGCCAACAATATGGCGAGAAGGGTGGACGGCGAGACGACGACAGTATGGTGAGAAGGCGATAGTACGGCGAGAACGGTGGAAGGCGAGAATGGTACACGGCGAGAAGGGTGGACGCCGAGAAGGCGACAGTATGGCCAGAAGGTGATAGTACGACGAGAAGGGTGGACGGCGAGAATGGTTCACGGCGAGAAGGCGACAGTATGGCGAGAACGCAGCCCATTCCACAACAGTGCCACAAATCCTCCATCGTAACGACGGTATCTTATAGGTCACCGTCGACGAGGATTTGGAGGGCGGTCTACCACCCTCCTTCCATGCGCCCTTCGGCAATGACTTCCCCCAAAGGACGACAAGAAGACTGGCCCTCCATTAAAACCCCCCAACCTGTCCCCCCCCGCCCCTCCCCAAAACCTCCCTGGGTACAAAAAAAAAAAAACGCCCCGCCAAGAAGCCTGACCCCTTCAAACCCCATAGTCGTCCCCCTCCACGCCGCCAGCGAATGGGCGCCCCCTTCACTCACCGTCGTCCTTACCCATGGTGCAATAGGACATTTATGTTCTATGTTACCGCACGTTCATGGAACACACATTTCGCGTTCAATTTTTAAACGCGGTGAACGCGCGTTCACTGAACTTGGGTAAACGCGTTTGACGCATTTGCGCAGGGTGTTTTTCGCATGTGTGTGTGTGTGTGTGTGTGTGTGTGTGTGTGTGTGTGTGTGTGTGTGTGTGTGTGTGTGT